ATTCCATTCCTAGATATTATATGCCAAAGAGAAATAAAATCCTAGATATGAATGCACATACCTAAATAATACAAATAGTTCAAATGGACAGATAAAATGTAGTACATCCATACAATGGACTATTACAGTTCCAAGTTTTCTAAGGAATCTTCTTAATGCTTCTAGAGTGGTTGCACCAATTTGCAGTCCCACCAGCACTGCATGAGTTAACCTTTTCCCCGACATCCTCATCTACATTTATTATTACTTGAATTCTTGATAATTGTCATTCTGACTGGAGTGAGATGAAATCTTAGTATAGTTTTAATTTGTATTTCTGTAATTGCTAGAGATGATGAACATTTTTTCATGTTTATTGATTGATTTTATTTCTTCCTCTGTGAAGTGTCTGTTCAGTTCCTTTGCCCATTTATTAATTGAGTTATTATTATTTTTTGGTGTTAATTTTTTTAAGTTTTTAAAAAATATATCCTGGAGATTAATGCTTTGAGGTACAGATAGCAAAGATATTCTCCTATTCTCTAGGATCTTTGTTTACATTCTTGATTGTTTCCTTTACTGTGAAGAGTAAAGGATCGAACCCAGGGTCTCGCACGTGTTGTCATTTGTTTTATTGATTCTTGATTTTTTTTCTTGTACTTTAGGAGTTTTTTTGAGGAAGTCGATTCCTAAACTAATATCATGCAGAATTGGGCCTGTATTTTTTTCTCATAGGCACGGGGTCTGTGTTCTAATGCTGAAGTCCTTGATCCAAGTTGAGTTGAGTTTTGTGCAGGGGGAGAAGTGTTCAGTTTCATTCTACTACATATGGATTTCTAGTTTTCCCAGCACTATTTGTTGAAGAGGCTATTTTTCTCCAATATGTTTATGGTGCCTTTGTCTAATATGAGATAACTGTAACCAAAGACACATCAAGGAAAGAAAAGTTCAGACCAACATCCCTGATTCTCATGGAAGCAAAATTATTAATCAAATACTGGCAAATCCTCTACAAAAACATATTAAAAAGATAGTGCACCATGATTATGTGCAGTTCATCCTAAGGATGAAAGGTTGATTTTAGTATGTGGAGATAAATGAATGTAATTCATCACATCAATAAACTTTGAGAGAAGAATCACATGATAAATCTCAATATATTCAGAAAAACCACTTGACAAAATTCAGCATCCATTCATGCTCTAGACTAGTGTTTGTAGGAACATACCTCAACATTGTAAAAGCAATATATGGTAACCCAAGGCCAACATCATTGTAAATTGAGAAAAATCAAAGCATTCCCTCTCAAAACAGGAACAACAAAGGGCTGCCCTTTCACCTCTTTTTTTTTTTCAAACATAGTTTTTGAAACCTTACCCAGAGCAATTAGACAAAAGAAAGAAATTAAAGGCTTATGAATAGACAAGAAGAGCTCAAACTATCCATATTTGCCATATGACATGATTCCTTATTTAGAACATGTAAAAATCTCTACCAAAAAGCTTCTACAACTCAAACTAATTCAGCAAAATAGCAGGTTATAAAATTAACACATGTAAGTTAACTGCATTCCTATACATCTGTGGTGAATAAACTGAAACGGGAATTAGAAGAACTATCTCATTCACAATAGCCTTAAAAAATATAAAATATTAGTGATCAGTCTGACAAAAGAGGTGCAAGACCTCTATAATGAAAACTATAGAACACTAAAGAAAGAAATTGAAGAAGGCCTTAAAGGAAGGAAACATCTCCTATGCTCTTGGATAGGCAGAATTAATATTGTCAAAATGGCCATACTATCAAAACTGTTATACAGATTTAAGGCCATTTCTATTAAAATCCAGTCACATTCTTCATAGAAATAGAATAAGCACTCATGAAATTCATTTGGATAAATGAGAGGCCCAGAATAGCCAAAGTAATTCTTAGAGAAATGAAGTGGTAGACATCATAATACCAGACCTCAAGTTATACTATAGAACTATAGTAACAAAAATGGCATGGTATTACTACTAAAACAGACATGGACACCAGTGGAACTTAACAGAAGACATGAGACAAACCCACATAAATATAGTTATCTCATACTTTTAATTATTTTTTCTTTTTAATATTACAATGTTATACATTTAATTTTTCTTCTTGAAGTTATTTTATTGGTATTTCTAAGTTTAGTTTCTTGTATTTGAGGTGTTATTTTAAGAACAATTGTTATTAAAATGTTAAAATATCAATGATATATTTTTATATTTTGCTAAGTGAGTTTTTTTGTTGTAATTATGTGGCATTCTATTTATCTTTTAATTTAATACAATGTTTAACTCATTTAGTTTTTTTTTTAATTTTATTTTTTTTTAACATTCAATTTTGTCTTTAGGTAAAACTTGTATTGGTTGTTAACTTTCTTTGCTTGATAGCATTTTTACTACTTCAAATAATTAGTTTTTAGAATTCTGCACTTTAATTGCTGTCTGAATCTGTGAACTTTAGTTCACAGTGGGCTTGTTTTCCTTTTCCCATATGAGCTATTTATAACTTTAGTCAAAGGTTATTGACAAGTTATTAGATTATGTAAGTCCTTCCAATGTATCTAAATGCTGTACTTTGAGAGAGAGAGTTGAAGATTTATTTAATAATATTTTGCCATAGTGGATTATAGGAAGCACAATATCACTATTGTAAATATAATCATTTGAGAGTATATAGAAGGTAATTTCATTGTCAAATATAATCATTTGAGAGTATATAGAAGGTAATTTCATTGTCCAGCAGTCCTCTTTTCATTATAATTTTTATCTGTTTGAATATTTTCTTAAGAGCATCTCAGAACAACACATAAGAATAACAATTTTTAAAAAATTAATAGAATAATTTAGTTTCCCCAGAGTCCCTTGCAATTCTGCAAATAACCAGCAGGGGATCTCCTCTACATCAAATTTCATCTGAATACTGTTAACGATGGTGTCTATAATTATACTGTGGGGGCTTAAAGAAAAACTGGTGACTTTGAGAGAGTTACTAGTTTAGCATAGTTGTATGGGATACAGTATTACCTTTGTTCAGCTTTATTCATAACTCTAGAAATATTTGGAGGTTAGACTTTTTTATTTTTTGTAACCGCGGATTAAACCCATGGATGCTTTATCACTAAGCTACATCCTCCAGTTTTTATTTTTTATTCTGAGACAGTGTCTTGCTAAGTTGCTAAGGCTGACCTCAAACTTGGAATCCTTCTCCTCAGCCTCCTGAATAGACAATGTTTTAATAATTTTGCTTTGTGTTGTCATATACGTGTAAATTTCAGAACCTTTTAAATATTGGGCCTTTTGGAGGAAATGCCAAAATTATACAGTTCCCAGCATAGTAGTTTGAAAACGTTGCGCTGAAAAGGTGTTCAAAATGAATGAATATGAAATAGTTTAATTTTTAAGTTAAAATGTAAAGCAATCATTTAGTATTAGAAACATGTTTTTAAAATAATTCTTGCCAGTTGGTAAGAGTAGGAGCTCTAGGAATTAATATATACCACTATGAATTTTTCTTGATAGTATTTAGATGGGTATGTCCATTAGAAAGCAGTTTTTTTCTGATAATGTAATTCTTTCTGATGTCTTATTTTCTAAACTCTGTTTTTTGGTTATTGAAAACTAATTTTAGAAGAATGAATTTTGACACTGTGAATTTGATAAATGTTAGGGGCATAATAGGTTTTTGAAACCATTTGAAAGTAGGTAAATTTTTAAAAATATTTTTATTATTATGATGCTGGAGAGCAAATCCAAGGGCTTCCCTTATGGTAGGGAAGTGCTCTCTACCACTGAGCTATACCTCCTGCCCTCTTTTTAAGAAATTGACCATTGTTGTATGCTAACTGAATAAATTTGTTTTTTTTTTCTGAAAGAGAGAGTGAGAGACAGAG